GCCATAATCATCACAATTATGACAAATCACAGCTTGAACTATCTTGCTTTGCATGTAATGCGTCTATCTCATATATTAGTTTCCCCTTTTAAGTTGCATTACTGAAATAAATGAACTTTTGCACGATATTCTAATTTTTTGAGTTTCACCTATATATGGAGTAAGGGAGATATATAGTCAAAATAACATTCTTTTCTAAGTGTTAAGGACCCCTTGCCCTGCAGATGGAGTGGCATTACTGGGAGGCATCTCCAGTTGGGATGGTCCCTAATTGGGCCATGGGATGGACATGGGGGTGCTGGGCAAGGACTTAAACTTTCTTTTGGGTGGGGAAAACCTGGAAACTTTCAGATTCGGGTTTCCACAGATGTTTCAATATGACATATCTATTAAAATGGAACTTTGAGGAAACCCAAGCCTCGGAGTCTTCTTTCGTTTGTGGTATTACTTGGAACCCTGACACCACGGTGAGGTGGCTGTGGTGAGTTGTGCTAGACCCCGCCTCAAAGTACTGCTAGCTCTCTTTCCCATGATCTTGACCAAAGTAGCTTAATGGTAGCTTGTATGGTCTGTGGGCTGGATCGTACCATCTTTGGTTAAGGGAGATTTCAAAGGGGGGGGGGGCAGGCTTCACGGTGAAAAAAAATCATTCACTCTAGTCTCCCACCACATGTTCCTCCAAAATGCACAGGAGAGATTCATGGAGCATTTGAGTAGGGGACAATGAAACCTGGTCAGCTATTTTTGCACCTTCTCAAAGAGTGCCAAGATTTCCTCAAGAGATCCATGGCTCTCTGAAATTTGCAAGCTGCCAACAAAAGGATTAGCTATCCATCTTCAGATCATGCCCAGATTTATTTGGTTGTAAATTTCTTTTAAAATTAATAAGGTGGATGTTTTTGTGGTGCGAACGTTAGAATCTTGATAAATGTAATATCAATAGAACTAACTAGACTGGGAATCTTGAGCATTTAACGTATAGGGCAGTTTAAATTACAATTTATAGAGAACAGCTCAATTATTGTCCTGTTCTCAGTCAATGAAATCAACAAGATTGGAAAATGTCTAATTAAGCAGATGAGGCTCCCTAAAACAGAATTGCTAACACCTTTGCTTTCTTTTGGGTTTGTGCTGAAGCCATCTTGGATGTAATACTGAACTTATTTAATATAATGCCTGGGTTACTTTGCCGAATCAAATTTCTGGCAAGTAAAGCTTTGTAGAAGGGTCTTAGTTTGTGGACCCAGAATTCCCATTTCTCTGGAATTCTGGTTCTTCCTGCTATGAAATTCAGATTTCCCATGCAAACAACCCATTTGGAAATGTAGTACAACTACATCGGTGTAAATTCCAGCCTGTGGGTACAAATGAGATCTCCAATAGGGGAGGAATTGAAAATAGGGTACCAAGATGATCTATTTGTCATTCTTTAATCCCTTTCCATTTATTCCTTCTGTCTTTCTCATCAGCTTTCATTCTTTTTGTCCCTTCTTTCCCTAGACTGATTGGCACTTCCAGTCAGGGGCTAGTTTTAATACATATTATTGACAGTGGGGGAGCATCTTCCAAAGGTTTTCCAACAGTTCTAGATAGACTTCTCAAAGGATTAATTCATACTTCTGTCATTTCTTTCCTACAGCATCCAAATGTCTGTCTCCTTTATCCTACTGCTGGGTTTCTATCGATCACCTGTCTGCCTGTCCATCCATCCATCCGTCATCTATGTTTTCCCAGAATTATATGGATTTAAGCTTTGGAGCTGAGGAAAAAGTGCCCTGTTTGTAATTCTCCTTGTCCATGCTGCGTGGAAAATAAGCATGTTCAGAAAGAGATGGGTAACACTTGATACGTATCATCATTTTCTTATTTTTGAACATCATAAGGCCTCAAAACTTTTGTTTCTGAAGGGCCAACCAAAGTGGCACAGGCCAGTAAAAAAAAAGCATTACTTTGGATTGTGTTTATTATATGAAGGGCCCACCTGGGTCACCTTTTTAAAAAAGTGTTGGGTAAAACCTACAATATATCAGATACATTTGAGATGGAGACTGATGGACTTGTACAATGGCTGTCCATTTTTTACCGACAGGTGATTTGTGAGGGCTAAGTATTTTCAGACTATAAGATGCACCAGAGTATAAGACACACCAAATTTTGAAGAGGTGATTTTTTTTTTTTTAAAAAAAAAGGGTTTTGCACTCTGCAGGCCTCCCAAACCCTCTGCATGCCTTGTTTTTTGAGACAAATGGGACATGCATATGCTTTGAGAGACCTGCAAAGTGCTCCTGGCAGATGGCGGGGACAAGAATGGCCCATTTTGTGAAGGGAGTGGAGTTTCAGGAAACCAAAAATGTTGTATTTAGTGTATAATTTTCAGATTTTCACCCTCTTTTTGGGGGGGGGTGCGTCTTATACTCCGAAAAATACGGTAACTGCAGAAGGATTGCAAGCACTGCTTTGCCTCAGAATGGCATTTCTTACAGCTAGCCTTGAGATCAGAACAGACATGGGTCTTTACGGGTTCTGCTCAATCAAAATATTGGACCGACCAGCAGGACAGGTAACGCTAGTTCTTTTCTCCAACCCTTTACCCCATGGGGAAATCAAAGTGGAACGTTATGCACACAACTCTGTGCATGCCTTGGCTTTCAATTTGCTGCACTATTTATTCAAAACGCCACTAAAGGGACATCACTCTAGTGCAGGTGTGTCAAACTCGACTTCATTGAGGGCTGCATCAGGGTTGTATTTAACTTCGGGGGACCAGGATGGAGGGGCCAGGGTGGGTGTGGCCAGCTTGTTATCACTCCTGTTGGGGGTGCCTGTGGTGGCCCAAGCACTCTGCTAGCAAAAATGGGCTCCCGAGCTCTGTTTTCGGCTGCCATGGCCTCCTGCAATCCTCTGCTAGTGAAAACGGAGCCGAGCTTCATTTCTGCCCATTTTCACTGGCAGAAGCCCCACAGGCCAGTCCTTCGCTGTTTCCAGAGCGGCCCCGTGGGCCAGATCTAAGTACCCCGCAGACCAGATCTGACCCACAGGCCTTGAGTTTGACACTCCTGCTCTAGTGAGTCTAGATCAGTGGTTCCCAATGTGGGGCCCACGCCCCACAGAGGGGCAATTTGATTTTTAATGAGGCCAATTTGAACCTTGTTTAAACCAAGTTAATGGCCTTTTAGGCTTCCTCCACATGAGTAGAGTTCATTTTTTGAGTAAAGTAAGAATTATATGTCACCAAGAGAGGGGGGGGGGCATCAGGATTTTAGAGATGCTTAGGTGGGGCATGGCCAAAAAAAAGGTTGGGAACCCCTGGTCTAGACTGACATAGTGAAAAAAACTTTGCATTCTTGTATTTCATAGATACCCAGGATATCAAAAATGATCCATTAAGGGTTGCTGCCAATCAAATATCGTACAGGCGAAACAATTCTAGTTGGACCCATCAGCGTGACTTTGGCCAAGGCCAATATAGGTTGTGTTCCTCACAATTAGTGTTAAAAGAAAACTTAGGGAGAATCAGTAAAGGGACATGGACTGAGTTTTAACGCACCATTTCAGCTTAGGGATTTGTGAATGAGTAGCTACACAAAGCTATGCTCCAATTCAGGACCTATCTGCTGCTTTGCTTTGCAAGGTTTGTTTGTTTTAGTTTTCTTTTGTTTTTCAAGAGGAGGAAAAAAGTGCCAGCAGCTTCCTGCATATTTTCCTCTGAGTAGTGATAGTTAATAAGAAGGTAAAGATAAGTCTGACTTGAAAAAATAACTCAATGTGGCTTATTCCAACTATGTTGGAAAATTGTTACTCCCAATTAAAAGAAGAAAAGAAACCCAGGACCTTACAATAAAGTTCTAAAGGTTTGAATGGTGTAAACATTCCGAAGACAACACACAATAAAATATTCTTTTCAAATGACATTTCCTGAAAAAAAATATTTTGAAAACGAGGCAAGGATGGGTAATAGCGCTCTACTTTCCTATGTGTACAGGTAGTCCTTGACTTATGGCCACCATTGAGCCCAATGTTTCCGTTGCTAAGCAAGGCCCTTGTTAAGTGAGCCGCTTCCCATCTTATGACCTTTCTCGCCACAATTATTAAGTGAATCGCCACAGCTGAGCCATGTGGTCGTTAAACGAATCTGGCTTCCCCCATTGCCTTTTGCTTGTCAGAAGCCACTCGGAAAGTTATCAAAGGTGACGGCAGTGCAACTGTCATGAGTACATGCCAGTTGCCAAGCCTTCAAATTTTGATCAGGTGACCATGGCAATGGTCCCAGGTCACTTCTTTCAGTAACTCCAGTCACTAAATGGATGGTTATAAGTCGAGGGCTACCTGTATGGCTAATGTGGTACAAATCAAGATTTTTGCTCCCACCTTCCATCCATCTACAAATTCTAGAAACTGGGTTAAAGTGATTTTTTTTTAAAGACTAGAGGAAAAAATACAAGAAGGGTGTGTTGTGGATAAAATAACTTACGTCGTTTGCAGCCACATTTTTTAATCCTTTTGGGGTCTGTGATGTCATCGTGACATGCCTTGCAATAAAAGTAGGCCCTGGAGCGGAGGGAGAAGAGAGATAAAACTGACACTTCTCTTAATTCATACAAATGAAATTAGTTCTACATTTTCTCTCCGTGGAAAGTGTTGAATTAATAAAACATGCCAGCCTTAATTTCCTTTAATCTTTTGAAAGGTTTGGACGTTTAAGGAAGGGGATGTTTGCTACAAGACAATTAATTCCCAACCCCAGCTTGGGTGATTTGAGTTCATGCTTCTTCTTTTAATAAATTTAACTTGAACATAATGGTGGTGAATGGTTCACGAATGTGACACAACAGATCGGTTCATTGGGCTTTCATCTGGGAAAGAAGCATCCATGTGGACTTTTTTTAAAAAAATCCAAACTTACAAAAGAGGACGGGGAAAATATTCCTGGCAGAGAAACTGCACTTTCAAAGGCCTCTGATTTTTATTTTTTTATGTTTTTTTCTTTTTCTTTTTTAAAGACCAGACAAATGCAGAAGACTATTTGTTCCACTTAGTTTCACAGGGCTTCATGGTCTGAAGGGATTCAAATACAGTTGTGGAAGAAATACAGAACAAAAGTATTTATGACTGAAATTGCATTGCTTCTGCAGCTGAATACAGATTATCAGAGATGGAAGAATCCTCAGAGGTCTTCTCCCCCTTGTCAAGCAGGAGACCCTAGACCCGTGATCGCGAACCCATGGCACGTGTGCCGGAAGTGGCATGCAGAGGCATCTCTCTCTGGGCACGTGAGCCATTGTCTGTTGCTCTTCTGTGTTCTGACGTGCCGGCCAGCTGGTCTTCACACCCACAGGAGTGCTGGAAACCAGAAGAGGAGCTGCCCGGTGTGCATGCATGTGCCGAGTAGATGATCTTCCAGTTTCCAGTGTGCGCATGTGCACTGGCCACCTGGTCTTTCACTTTCTGGCACACATGCACGCACGAAGACCAGCTGGCCGGTGCACATGCACACACCAGAAACTGGAAGATCATTTCCCAGTGCGCGCATGTGCTCTGGGCAGCTACTGTTCTGGTTTCCAGCACATATGCACATGCACACACTTCCGTTTTGGTACTTGGTGCCGAAAAGTCTTGCCAACACTGCCCAAGACCATTCCAGAGAAGTGGTTGTCCAGTCTCTTCTTAAAAATTTCCACTGATGCTGGCTTAGATTGAGAACGCTCTCTGGACTGGTGAAAATTTCTGTTGAACGCAGTTAAGAGAACTGCATATATTCTCTAGCCTTCACAAAATATTTTTAAAATAGGCTGTGGGAAGTGAAAGGACTCTTAAGAACAACTTTCCAAAGGTAGGGTTTAGTGAAACTTGGGGAAGGGGAAAAAATAGTGATTCCAGCTATTGCCAATCAAGAACTTTTCATTTAGTCTATTTTGATTTATCAACTTGTTACATAATTGTGTTATACTGAGCTTAAACTGAATAACTTTCTTCCAGGTGTTGAAAATCTTTCTGCTTTTGTCCACTAATAAAGTTTCAATTGCCTATATTTTGAGGAGGGGAAAGGAGGGAATTCAGACTGTGTTAGTAATCACACTAAAAATGTCTGTTATGGCAAGAAAGGGATATAAATCAAGAAAGGAATTGAAAATAATGTTCTTTGCATCCCAAAACTAAATGTAAATCTGTTAGAATTTGAAATAGGCATGCATTTCTGGTTGCTCGCATCTCTAAAATCAGAAACTATTACATGTTTTTTTTTATAAAAAAAAACAGAATTAAATGTATAAATACACGGGATGATTTGTTAACATCACAAACAATGATGCTAAAATGATCAGCAATCAAATTGTCTTTCTTACAAGGAACGTAATGCACATAGAAGTCTTAAAAAGTAAGTGGTATGCTAAAAACAAGGGACACAGCAGATTATAAATGGAAAATGGATTCTTTCTCTCTCTCGCTCTCCTTTTAAGGAAGTATCAATCAATAAATTCAATTTATTGCAGCTTAACACCAGAACAGATGATGAACAAATAAAATTTCACACAGAGTTAAGTACATTTGTAAAATAACCTGATTGAGTGATTGATTGTTTGATTGAAGTATATGATTCAACCTTTATATTGAAAGTAGGTACTTTACATTAAATGATACAAAAGGTGTGGAATTCATTGTGCTAATCTTGAATTGCTCTGATAGGCTTTCCCATCTGAATTACAATTAGTCCTAGACTAGAATTCCCTAGTAAGACCACACCTGGAATACTGCAACTGATTTTGGTCATCATACTACAAAATGATGCTGAGATTTTGGAAAAAGTTCAAAGAGTGACTAAGATGATCAAAGGCCTGGAGACTAAAACATATGAAGAACGACTGCAGGATTTAAGCTTGGCTAGTCTAAAGAAAAGAAGAATTAGGGGTGACATGTATTCCAGTATTTGAGGGGCTGTCATAAAGAAGAGGGGGTCAAATTATTCTCCAAAACACCAGAAGGCAAGACAAAATACAATGGATAGAAATTAATCAATTCCAGCAACCTGGAATTAAGGAGAACTTCCTAACAGTGAGGACAATTAACCAGTGGAACAGCTTGCCTTCAGAAGTTGTGAGTGCTTCATCACTGGAGGTTTTTAAGAAGAGACTGGACAGTTATCTGAAATGGTACAGGTTCTCCTGCTTGAGCAGGGCCCTGGACTAGAAGACCTCCCAAATCCCTTCCAGCTCATTCATTCTATTCATATGGATACCATGTACCATGAATGTCTTCAGATTTCTCTAATTCCTTCCCACATGTAAGAATCTAGAGTTGGTCTTTCATTACCAACAAATGCTTCTAAAAGTTGAGCAAGCCCTTCAATTCATGTCAAATTCTTCATCGCTCTTATCACATCACATCCGGCCGCAGCCATGAGATGAGTAAAGCTTCCAAAATGCATTGTGGACCATGATGATACAAGTACAGAATGACCCAATATTTACCTTTTCACTTCTTTGGCGTCGCTTGCAATGAAGAATCCTAGCGTACCCTCTTGAATTTTCACATGATTTCCAGGGTTGATCAATATTCTGCCCAGTGAAATGGAACAAAATGACAAAACAGGAATTAAAAAAAAGAGAAAAACTGTCAGGGCACACTACTTTTGTGCTGTGAAACCAAATTCATTATTTCTCATTGCTCCGTTATAGGGGGCCCATTAGTTTGGCAAATCCAAAAGAAAACAAAAAGAAGGCCAATAGAAGCCATTTTTTTAAATTAAAGGTTTCAAAATAGGATCTCTATTGAAACACCGAGGCAGAAAACGCATTCCATTCGTATCACCAAAGTCTTTATCTCGCAACTTTGCTTGAGGCCCGAGGGACTTCAGTTAGGGGTAGAAAGGGGGACAAATACACAGAAAGCTTTGATTTTGTTTTTTGCTCTGCGTTCAAAGGTAACAAAATTGTTATGAGTGATGCAAAGAAAAATGATTCCTGTGGTAAGTATCTGCTCGGAAAAGCCTCACTCTTCTGGCAGTTTAGCCCTTTGTGTCAATTTCTGTTGAAGTGGGGTATTATTAATGGGCCCCCTATCACTGTCTATTACATGAATTATAGTGTAGTACATACATATATATATAAATATATACTCAGGGGGAATGGTACAAGACAACCATTTACGATTGCTAAAGAAAACATAAAACCGGGTATGGTGGTTAATCATTTCTCCATCCCAAAGCCCCTTTCTCAGACTGTTGTCAATGAATCAAAATAAGTTACTCATCCTTGCTAGAAAAATAAAATCAACTGCATTTCAAGATTTAGACTAATCTCATTGGACTGACTTCTGCGTTTATGGTATACGCTCTTCAACAGGAACAATGGCTTTAGCCAAACCAATTCACATTTTTAACAGAGCCTGGCCCAGGTCTTAGAGCCTGCCTTTGGGAGGGGGTGACCATGGTCTGCCATCCATGAAGTACTTAACATCTGTAAATCTGAAAGTTTTTGGTAACTAGTTACAGGTTTCACCCATTGAGTGTTGAATGTTCTATCAGTTCCAACATGGGAAAGTGTAATGTCTACAAGGATGGAAGTGAATACATCAACCACATATTACATGGCTGTATATGCTCATTCTGCAAGAAATCCCACCCAATGGAGCACATTTATTGTTTACTGGGTTTTGTTTTCCTTTGTCACCCTCTTAGAATAAGGATTTCCAACCTTGGCAGCTTTAAGACTTGAGGACTTCAATTCTCAGAAGTTTGTCTGGGGAATTCTACAAGTTGGAGTCCACAAGTCTTAAAATTGTCAAGGTTGGAGAACCCTTAGAAAACTTTGGTAGTTCGACAGATCAAAAATGTAATCAACGAATATGTAATGTGGAATACATTGTAGGAATGTGCCTGGTCTCTATTTAGTGAATGTAAATACTTTCAAAGGAGATTTTTTTTTAAAAAAAGGAACTAAATGATTCTATGTTCCATGTGCATCTTTTCATGACCTGATCCTGCCCCAAATATCTACACAGTTTTTATTTTAATGGAACACACCCTACAAAAGAAGGGAGGGAGAATTTTCATGGTTTCAAAAAGGCACAAGGTTAATTTAGCTCAACAAAATACTTTTACAAGTGAATTCACAAAATTTGGTTTTTCTTCCTGGAAAACCATGGGCCTGGGCCCGTGATGGAGAACCTATGGCAAGCCTGCTCAAAGTGGCATGTGAAGCCATGTTGCCCCCGGCATGCACAACCTTGCCTGTTTGTCTTCCGCATTTCTGGCACGCATGTGCACATTGCGATCAGCTGTCCTTCACATGCACGGCAGTGCCAAAAACAGGGGTACACATGTGTGCCAGAACCCATAAGTTCAGCTTTTCCGGAGCACGATCCTTTGTGCATGCAGCAGTGCTGAAAACCAGCATGCATGCTGGCCAATTGATCATTGGGTGCGCATGCATGCTAGAACCCAGACGTTTGGCTTTTCTGGAGAGTGGCCCTGACGAGCATGTGTGCACACAAAGTTTCTACGTGACCTATTTGGCACTTGCCATCACTGGCTAGGCAATTTCTCTTTATTTTTTAATGCCGTGATCCAAGATAATGATTTACACCAGGGGTGTCCAAACTTGGCAAGTTTAAGAGATACTGGCTGGAAAATTCTGGGACTTGAAGTCCACTGATCTTAAGTTTGGAGACCTCTGGTTTACACAGTCATGACAGTTATGGGTTGTTGTAATTTGTTTGTGCTGCTGAAAAAGCCAAATCTCTTGCCATTTCTATTTCCTAGGACTAAACACACTTCAAAAGTGTGCTTTCCATCTTGCATCACTCTGGGTTTCATTAAAGCAGACCATCGTTTTTTTTCCGGCATGAATTAGTGTAACGCCTAAAGCATCAGTTTCTGCTTTTTAAGCGAATGTTGATGCCGCGAGAAAGAAGGGATACTCAAAGGAGTAGCAGAGAGGTGGATCACTTGTGTGAGGTCTGAGGGATGTCTTCCCAATCCTTTTCAAAGCATTTTGATAATACCAATAAAGGAGAATATTTGTAGCTCAAGGTTGAAATGAGGGATCCTTGGTGCTCTCTGAGCTTGGTTATTTTCTTGCAGATGTTTCATCACCCAAACTTGGTAACATCATCAGTGATAGTCAGACTAACACTGATGATGTTACCTAGTTGGTTAATGAAACGTCTGCAAGAAAACAACCAAGCTCAGAGAGCACCAAGGATCCCTCATTTTGAAAATGTTCATTTTCAAAGGAGTTTTACAGAGCTTCTAAGGGAAATTCAATTGTCTCTCTCACTCTCTGTCCACAATTTCATCGTTAGAAGAGAGTTAACATGCATGCAATGTTTGTAGGAAATGAAGACTGCCACGATTAGAATCAATTGGGACTTGGTAGTAAAACATATTTTCAGGGAATGAGACAGTGAAAGCACATATATATGAACACAAACAGTGCGAGATACACAGGTACAGCTTTCTGGCATTATCTTTGAGAGCCAATGGTATTCGTCTGGAAATATTTGAAGGGCACGTAAGAGATTTTTGCAGGAAAAAGCTGTGGTTAGATATAATGCTGTTAAGTGGAAACTGTTTTCAGATTTACCACAAGGCCTAACATATCCAGCATCTGCACTTATTGTGTTGGAGAAGAGAAAATAAATGGCATTAATTGGAGAAACTCCACTTCTCCTTCCTAGATTGATAATGACTAGATAGTTTCAATACCTGGGGAACCCATCTAATTCCTGATCAAAAGCTCTTTTACAACTTCCTTGATTATTGCTAAGGCAATTAGCAATCATTGTGGATAATGTAAAAGAGGTGGCTTTTCTCTCTCTCTCTCTCTCTCTCTTTCTATTAAGCAGCTAAATTTGAGTTGCCATTGAATTGAATCTGAATTTTATTTTAAAATCTGGAAGTTCTTTCTTTACCTGTTTTTGTGATTGTTGAAATGTAGCAAAATGTTACGATTTTTAATTTGTTTTAGAAGATAAGCCAAAGATCAAAAAGAGCAAAAATGTGATTTAGAAGACAGGACGATTCTGAGCTTAACAATTATTAGCATATATTTGAGTAAAAGAACACATGATGATTATTATTATTACAGCCAATCAGATATTCAGACTGGATATGGCATTTTTTACCACCTATCCAGTCCTTCCTGAGGACCTGAGATAGGCAAATGTGGATGTTGGATGGTGTTAAAGCGTCAGAGGATGGAAACTGTTCCGAGTGAAGCTGCCTTTTGCAATTGACTGATGGTGACTTTGTCAGTGCCAATGGTGTTCAAGCGGTGCTCCAATTTTTTTGCCATTATTAAAATAAGAGCTGCTATGGCGCAGTGGTTGGAATACAATATTGCAGGCTAATTCTGCCAACTGCCAGCAGTTTGATCCTGACCGATTCAAAGTTGACTCAGCCTTCCATTCTTCCGAGGTCGGTCAAATGAGAACCCAGATTGTTAAGGTTGACAACTGCTTAAACTGCTTAGAAATGGCTGTAAAACACTGTAAAGTGCTACATAAGTCTAAGCGTTATTGCTTAGTGCTATTATTGATCAATATTGAGGTCATAATCAGTTTGGTGTGGTGGTTTAGGCACCAACCTGGAAACTGGGAATATGTGAATTCTAGTCTCACCTGAAGCGCAAAGCCATCTGGATGATTTTGGGCCAGTCCCTCTTTCTCAGTCCTAGGAAGGAGAAGGTGGCCAGAGCAAACTACTTTTGAAAAGCTTTACCCAAACAATTGCAGGGACTTAGTGGCCAAGAGTCAATACTGACTTGAAGGGAATTATTATTGTTGTTGTTGAAACAAAACACCGGGGACTTGATTGTTCATAAGACAATCAAAATCTGGGTGCTTTAGGCCTGGCAGACATCATAAATAGCAAAAGGTATGCTGGAGCAGATTTCCTGAATTTAAACCATATTTAAAAAAAATAAGCGATGAAAAGATTCAAAACCTATCAGGAATTCAGGGAGACTAGCAAATCATACCCAGAGTGGAAGTTCCGACATTTTGGCTGGACACCAAAGAGCAAAATCTAAGCTTGAGAGCAGGAAATAGATCCTCTCTGATAATTTGTCCCATACAATTGCTAAATTGTAAGTTGTATTGAAAATTTCAGATATCATACAGAGGGGCATTTCTATCCCTGAATTTTATCTCCAAGTACTCGTCATTTCATTATTATGTTCCATATTTCCTTGAAAATAAGACCTCCCTGGATAATAAGCCCAATTGGGCTTTTAAGTGCATGTGCTAAAATAAGCCCTCCCCTAAAAATAAGCCCTCCCCAAAAACATTGCAACACAGCAGCAGCCATGAGGTGACCATGCTCGCCACCTCCTGCACCTCAAAAATAATAAGACCTCCCCCAAAATAAGGCCTAGTGTTTACTTTGGGGGTCAAAAGAAAATAAGGCCCTGTCTTATTTTCGGGGAAACACAGTTTGAATTCTTTTTTCATTTTCTCCTGGGGACCTGGGGACAGTGACTTTCACATAAAAGTATCTGTACTGTTGTTTCCAGTTAATTTTTTTTAGTTAATTGTTCTCGATGGGGGAAAACTATAA